TAATAATTTCCTGTCACTTTAGGAAGATGAGTTAACTCACCCCAGTGTGATTCAAGCAAAAAAAAGCTTGTCTGGGGTTGTAAAATATGGCTTCATAACAAAGACAATCGATACATTTCCTGTATTTGAAAATAATTTACAACCAAAGACTTCCTTGCCAAATAATTTCTTTTCTCAAAGGAGAAAATATTTGCCAAGACATTGAAGGTGTTCACATTTGAAAACCTTCTTTGGCAGGCATCGTGTTTCTCATCCAAAGATTCGGTGTCTTTTAAACGCCTTTAAAAGAACAACTGTGGGAAATAAGTGTAAAATACTTTTTTAAAGACAGATTACCGAGCATATCCGTGTGCTGATGCATTTGGGAAAGGAGGGCGCGGTGTTCTTAGATTCCAGCTATATTGATATAAACCACTGAAAATTCAAGCGAGTTTGTTGTCGGTCTGGAATCGTTGCTGTGTAAAGGATCTAAACCCAGTGCTGCTTAACAATCTCTGATTGTCTAGTAACAAAGATAGTGAGAAAAACATCTAGGAGTAAAGTCCAGATTCCTGGCAGGAGAGGAAAAGATGTGTAACCAGAGCTCAGAATGCGATCACTGTTCTTCTTCCGCTTGAACACACCTAAACCTGTTTGTCGAAGAAAATCACTTTGTGTCAGTTGCAGTGAACCCCGGACCCAAAGAATCACAGCAGTCCACAACAAGTATCTGAGACTCCTGTAAAGTCGCTGCCTTAATGACGACGATAATTAAGGGATCAGAAGAGGAAAGTCCAGATGGCAACTGAGGCCAGACAGTACCAGGTTTCCTTACCTCGGAGCTGTACCCCAAGGAAGAGCACAGCACCCAGCCAGCTGGGGCCGTCCATCGGGAAGACAAATCCGTACTCCGCAGGTTGAGCAGTGCCAGAAGGAGAAATTCGTTTCAGGTCCTTGATAACCGGATGAAAGATGAGTTTCTCAAAGCCTTCTCAGCACAGAGGAGCAAATTCCTTTCTCTCCGCTTGACCTGCAAGGCAATGTGAGTACTCCTTCCTGCTTGAGTCAGAGAGCACTCCCTGTCCTTGCACTGAAAGGCAAGGTGCGCCCAGCACAGCTCACTTCTCTGTGTACAACAGGGAGATTTTCAAGGTAAGATTAATTTCTTCTGCCTCCCATATTCCTTTGCTCTTTTGTGTTGCAATCATCCCTCCTCCCAGCTTCCACCTGAAACCACTCCCCTCTTGTGGGAGGTAATTTTGCTCCTAAAAGAAAGTTTGCCCGAAGGTGTTTACAGATAGCCTGAAGGAATGAGGGCCATTTGTTTGGCAAAAACCTGCAAACAATCCAAAAAAGCAACCCAAAACAGCCTGCGGCAGCAGTGTGGGCACACATCCAGAGGATGGAAATGTCCTACTGAAACACAGATACCTACAGTAAAATGAAGGGATCATCATAATGTTACTTGGTTGCAGCCATCCCGCAGAACTGGGAGAACGCGTTAGCTGCTGCTTGTAAAGTCCTTGGAAAAGTCAAAAGACAATTACATTGGACATCAGTCCAGGCCGGTGGTGGTCCAGGCACAGCTGGGGGAACGCCACCGTGCTTAACAAGCAGCGCAAGGTACCGGAGAAACTCAGTGCGACACAGAATGTTTTCCCGCTGGCACGTGGCAGTTGTGAGAGCATCAGACTGAGTTGTGCATGTGTGTTGGCGCGACAAGGATGTTTGCATTTGAAGACCATAAACCACTTTAACAGCAGAACCTGCTGCTGGCTGTGGCTGTGTTTGTGTCTGGTCCGTGGTATAGTTCCAAGAAGTTATCCCAGGTTATGAGCTTTCGTTGTGACTGATGCTAATTTTCCTTGCAGCGGTGCCAAGGCAGGGACGGGGAGGATGCCCTAACCTCTGGGTGTTTCGACGGGCTCCCTTCAGCTCAGAGCTAAGGAGCGGAGTGAGGGCACTCTTGCTGTGCAGCAGTGTGGGCTCCGGTTGGGATGTTTTGGATTACCTGGGACACACTGAGAGGATGTCAGAACTGACCAGAACAAGGTTTTGGTGGAAAGAGGGCAGCAGCAGGACTGTCAGACTTCCTGCTAATGAGCAACCATGTGGACATCTCTCCTCCCATTTGCTGTTGTAACATCCTTGCGGCAATTTCTGAGGAGAATACTGAATTTATTTTTAACTTTTAAACGTCAAGTTTCAAATTTGGCAATGTAAAAAAGCACTGAGGCCATCATTCTCATGGATTGCCCACAGAACAGCGCCGAGAATCTTGTCTCTGCTAACATGTCTCTGCTAATAGCTCTGAGATACCAGACATCTCTGTTTTCATGGGAATAATTTGGCCCTGTGTTAACCCTTCATCACTGCGTCTCCCCAGACTTCCACTCAGTTACTGTTCCAAAACGTCATCTCCATTTCTTGCATTGCCACTATAAATATTTATTAGGCTGGGGTTGTTGTTTGTTTGTTTGTTTTGCAAACAGGGGATGCGTTTGCCTTTTCAGATTTTGTTTCAAGTATGTGTAAGGCAGTGCTCAGCAGTCAGTTTGCTGCCACCTCCTGAGATTGTCTTCCTGCACAGCAGCAACTTCTTCTCCTCAGGCAGCCCATGCAGGCTCCGGTAGGACAAGCGTGTTTCTTGCTGTAACAACTGCCCTTTGGCCACTCTGGCCGTGTAGCAACACTACTGGCTCTCACTTAAGACCGCATCGGTGTGGCGCACAGGACTGGGAAGAGGGTCTGTTCCAGTCTTCACTTGCAGACTTTTACTAATCTTCAAAATCTTGTTCCAAAACGTGCTGGCTCCAACTGTCGAGAGAAGGCCACGTCCCTGGCACCCTTACTAGTAACATAAATTCTCTCGTTTTTCCTTTTGAAATGGAAATAAGTAAAAGACCTGACAGCTAAAAAGAGCACCTCAGGAAATGAAATAAGGCCCCACAACATCGTCATTAGCCATGTCATTAAATGGCGGCTCTTGGGAAGGAGCGAGAAGCCGGTTCCATCCTTCCAGGCATCTGGAAAGGAGCCCCTCGAGATGTGTGCGGCAGGTGCAGAAACGCCGTGCGCCCTTGCGGAAGGAGGGAGCCTCGGCCGGCTTTGCAATGTCCGCTTTGGACACGTGCCCTCAGGTCCCCCACGATTCTCACGACGGCATGAGCAGCTCTGCCACCTCCGTAGGCTTCGGGCCGAGGGAAGCGGAAAGGCAGCGCCTTCCCACTTCGTCCACGCCAGCATCCCCGCTGGAAGCAAGGCTTGGAAAGGCGCCCGCCCCGCTCCCGTGGAGGCCTGGCGGCCTCTGCCTGCCTCGAGTGCAAGTCT